GCTCTGGCTCTGTGGCCAACGATTCTCGTAACTTTTGCAGTCGCAGCCAATCACGCAGTCTAACTGTCATCGTTGTTGCTGTTGCTGTTGTTGCTGTTGCTGTGGCTTTTGCTTGGCGTCGACGCAACATTCTTGAATCGCTTTTTAGCTATCAATTCGCCCTGGCCATGTTTGTCCAGCTTGGTGGCTTACCCGCGCCAGCTGCCTGTATTTTTAGCCAAGTCTATGGCTATTTGGGCATTGTCTTCTCAATATGCGCGTCACGTTCTACTCAGCTTTCAATTAGAGCGAACGTGCTGGGATCTCTAAGCATCCTTTTAAGTGCCACATAAATGTCTCATGCTGTGCACAAGTGAATCTTGTGCAACTTTCACCAACAACATCCAGCCACAGCAACAGCAACAGCAACAGCAATAGCTACAGCTACAGCTGCACGGGCTTAATTAAAGGCTCGATTGTAGCGACGCCCACTGACCCACTGACAGCAGAGCTGCAGCCACAGCAACCACAGCCACAGCCACAAGCACACAACAGTCGCACTTGCAGTTGCATTCACACAGCCTCCGCTGCACTTTGCAATGTGCCTCGTTTTTGTTTTTTCGTAGTCATCTTATCAAGATGTTTTTTTCCTTTGCTCTCAGATAAATGGCCAACGAGTTTGCCGACCCAACACACACACACACACACACAGTGAGACTTGCATGTGAAGTGCTTAAAATTGTTAACAACTATTGAGCTAGCTGTTAATTTAATGGCCAAGATCATTGCAGATGCTTCGCCTCGCGGAGGCTGCTTTGATTTAAACAGTTGTTGAAATTATGGCTCTAGCTAACAAGCAATTCATAAAATATAGCTCAATTATTCGTGGCTGTTGTTGTTGCTGATTTTTAATTAATATTTATTTATCTGGGAGATGTGTATTTAGCAAAAAACTTTTATTTTATTATGCTGTTAGATTGTTGCTGAAGATCGGGGATGAAATGGGAGAGAGTGTAGCTATATATTATATAAGTGTATAGTACTCATATATCTGATCAATACTTATATTCTCGTTAAGCGTGCAGAAACTTCCATCAGCTATATGCCCTAGAGTGAATCTGATCCTGCTCTCTCTTTCCCAGTCCCTCTCCTTCAAAACTGCTTGTCTTCATTCTTCATATATATCTACAGCTAAATATAATATATATTTTATAAATATTTACATTTAAGCTAACACAACTTGCTACAACTTCCTAATGTATAATTGAAGCTAAGCGATCTTTAGGGTCTCATTCTGCTGCCTTTTCCTCTGCTTAACAACATTCACCCCACTTTCAAACCTCTCCTTAGCCAACTCCTGCTAGATTATCATACTTATTATATATACATATACATATATCTACACATATCTCCCCCATATATCACAGCTATCGCACATCTAACTTTCATCTGCTCATTCATGCAGCTCCACACGCCTCAGAGATTATAATAATAAATATATTTGTATATGCCTAGATATTCACTCCTTTGCCTGCCTCTGCTTATGCAACGAAACTTTCTTTCTTTCTTTTTTGGCTATTGCAGGTTGTTCCAAGGTCTATACGAAGAGCTCGCACTTGAAGGCGCATCAAAGGATACACACGGGTAAGCTGTTATTGATAGTTAACTGGCTCACAGATCCACCCACCGCCCAGCGCAGCACTGCACCGCTGCACCACCTGGCATTAGTTAGTTATGAGGCGCCGCTAGGCTTGTCCGCTGTCGTCATCCACATTGCTGGCTGCTCCGCATCCGTTGTAGGCGTAGGTCGCACCACCAGCACCGCCAGCACCACGATGAGCCAATGCAGCGGCAGCTGTGCTGCGCTTGTTGGGCAAGCGAGCGGCGCAAAAAAAGGCTTTTGATTAATTCGCGCGCTCATATTTGTAGTTGCCAGCACATAATTTGCCAAGAGCTCGGAGCGGCTTAGTTTTTGGTTTTTTTGTTTTTTGTTTTTCAATTTCGGTGCAGCAACCACAGAAATCGTGATTTCTACGGATTCGGCTTAGCTTTTTTCTCCTTTGTGGTCAGTTGCAACATCAACAACATCAACAATCAACAATCGCCAATCGCCAACGCCATCAGCTGGGCGCACGTTTGGCCTGCATTTCCTTCTTGCTCAGATTACACTTGACGTTATTTTTGTCTTTTTGCTGGCTACAGCTGTGGAGTATCTGTGTTTTTTTGGTGGGTCGTTGCCGGTTGATCACCTGCCTCTGCGTTTTATGGGCCACACGTTTTATGCCCCTCATTCGCGACTTTCAACTCTCGACCCAGCCCCAAACCGACAAGAGTCTCTCAAAGTCCCGACCGCAGTTCTCCTTCACTGTTTTTTTTTTTTTTTCATTTTTATTAATCGCACATGACCAGCTGATTTATGCGCTGCACTAAAAAACATTTTTATTATTATGATTTTTTACTTTTTGCTCATTTTTTTTGCCTGGCGCTGATTTTCACTTAACTGATAAACTTAACGCCCCTCTAAAGAAACACAACACGGCATTTGATAAGCCCGACGACAAGTACTCAGAGTCAAGGTGAAGCTGTAAATTCTCAACGACTGAGGTTCATATAAGGCTAAAAACGTTTCAGTCATTTCAAGATATATGAAAATAGCTTTTGCTCATTGCACATTGTATATATTTTATTTTTATTATAAATGTAAATTTGATATGCATAAAATATATATACAATATATATGTAGCATGAGTTGGTTTAAAGGGAATTTATATAACATATTTATATATGCCGAAACAACTCTAAAAGTCGTTTAGCTTAGCTTGCAAATTAAAAAAAAAATATATATATATAAAAAATTCGTTTAACTATTCATTAATCATATTCTAAATATAAAACATTTAGCTAACACCCACTCATAAGCTTAACCTCTTTCATTTACTCGCTCTTTCTTTCTTTAGCGTCCTCTCTCTCCCTTCCTCTCTTATGTAAGCCTTGTCAATGGCAACTATAGATCTGGCTAACAGATTTAATTGCCTGACGCCCGCCTGTGGGCCAACACGAATGAATGCCAAACGAATCAATGGCCTAATGGCCACGTCTTTGGCCATTTGGCTCAAATCTCTTGGCCAGCAATTTGGCAGCACTTTTCGAGTGGCAGCCACCATTTGTGGCTACCGTCTGATGGCTGTCCGTTTGTTTGGCTTTTGACTTAGTTAACGTCGTCACACGCCCAGCCACAAGTACACACACACTCTTACACACACACACACACAGACACACACACCTAGTCGCATTTTTCATGCAATTTTGAAGCTGCGGCATCTCGTGGCGCCAGAGCCCAAGTCGAGTGTTGTCTTAGCTGATTAGCTGGGCTGCAGCTCAAGTGCCAAGGCTGGACACATTGAGCATTTGGCTCGCCGCTTGGGCAGGGTACACTTCTTGGGCAAGTTCGTTGCCTAAGTCTTTTGTTTGTCAGCTCGTAAATTTGTCGTTTTTATTTGGGCTTTTTGTCCTTATCGGCGAGGCGGCGATTAGAAAATCAGCCAGTAACTAATCTTTATGCAGCGAGCGAACGCATAAATTTTTTACATATCTACTCGGGAGACTGCCAGACTGAGAGACCAAGAGACCGTAAGGCTGGACGTTGTTTGCCCACCGGCTGGGCTTATTTTGTACTGATTTGTTTGCTAATACGTTTGCGTTGCCATAAATTAGTTTGATTTTTGTGCCCCGGCGAGAGTAGGAGTTGCCCAGCCCGCTGCCCAGGCCTGCGGCTAGACATGTCTTCTAGCTAGTTGCGGCCGGCCGTTGCCTTAATTTATATGCGACTCCGATTGAAACACACATATATATATTTATGTATGTGTGTATATCTATAGTTAGTTGCATGTTGTTGCTTATCGCGTTATACGCTAAAATTATGAAGTAATTTCGTCGGCTTTATCGCATTGCGTTCATCGCACATTACAAAACTACATTTACATAACTTTGTTTGTTGTTTGCTCCGGCCACGGGGCCTGGGCGCGGGCCCCTGGCTCTGGCATCGATGCTGATCTTTGTTTTAGTTACGAGCGATTTCAATTTTTCGCCATTGCCAAATGATATTCCCACGAGTGCGCGATCTGTATGTGTTGTTGTTGTTGTTGTTGTTGTTTACGAGATTCTGTTTGGGCAGTTGCTGTGCCATGACTCACCCAGCAGCCATTTATCAATGTTTTCGTAAGACCAAAACAAAGCTTCTTACATGGAGCAGAGAGAGAGAGAGTGAGAGTGAGCGAGACAGCGCATATGTATGTGTGTGCCTGCAAGTGTCGATAGGTAAATTCTTCTTTTTTTCTCTCCCTCTTTTTTGATTATGTTCAGTCATCTCGAGGCACTTAAGTTCATTAAAAGAGATCTAAATAAACCAATAAGTCACGCCACGAGTCCGTCGCTCATATTGAGTTTCTCTATGCCCAAATCTAAATCCCACAAAAGTGTCAGCTGAGTGCCACTTCTCGAGCTTCATCGCGACGCTGAAGAGGCATTTTCAAACGAAAATGCTGTAAAGAAACAACAACCACAAGCAAGAAAACTCTAGCCCGACTAAGAGATACCCTGAGCAACGTCCGAACTGCGCTTTTACTCCACTGTTTATGCTGCTTATGCTCAGCAAGAATATGTATTTTGGGCTATGCCACGCCTCCTTATGCCTGCTACATACACTTTTACAAATCCTACATACCCTTTCTCAGTGTATAATTATTATTATGCCTATTGCTGGCTGTGAAAAGGGTCTCAACGGCTTAGATGAGCTTAGAAGTGCGAGTTATTTGAGCTGAAGTGTGAAGCTGTTGTTGCACGAGAATTGTCGAATTTCGGAATTGTTGAGCTTGAGCTTGAGCCTCGCATGGCAAATGAATTTGAATTACGCGCACAGCGAATTCGCTTACTGCGAGCCATGCATAGCGAATGGGCAGTGCGAATTCGCTACAGTTTGTTGGAGTCCAGCTGGGACAATGCCTGAATAATGCCATAAAATGTCAAGTTCACAAAATTTAAAGCAGCGCAATAATTATTTCATTCAATTTCAATTCGAACACGAATGTTTATGTTTATGTTGATGTTGTCGTTGTTGTTGAGTTGTAATGCTCGGAGCACAGCCGGCTGCCCGCTCGCAGTGAATTAGTCATAGAGAAACGTTTGGGCACCGGCCGGTCGCAATTCCGTTTACAATTTTGTAGCTCGACTTGCCAAATGTCGTCGTGTTGTCTCTTGTTATTGTTATTGCTGTTGTTGTTGTTGTTGCTGTTGTTGTTGGGCCATCGTCATCAGCAGCGGCAAGTCGTGTGCCAGAGCTAAAAATCCAAATCATAAAATACGCGACGCTGAGTGACTCGAACTGCGAATTGACTTACCAGCTGCTGTTTGCTTGTTGTTATAGATGTTGCTGTTGCTGCTGTTGTCGTGTTGTAGTTGTTCTCCAACTAACATGAAAAGCCAATGAAAATGTTAATTTGCGCATACATGCAGCAGGCGCGACAAGAAGCTGCTGCTGCTGCTGACATTTGCTTCACTTGAAGCATTTGTCATTCCATTTGTCAATTTTTGTTTTCTGTTAAAATCATGGCTAACTGTGTTTCCCTCTTCTTCTTCTTCTTTGCTTGCAGGTGAAAAGCCGTATACGTGCCAGTGGCCCGAGTGCGAATGGCGCTTCGCACGCTCCGACGAGCTGACGAGACATTACCGCAAACACACCGGCGCCAAGCCCTTCAAGTGCATCGTCTGCGAGCGCAGCTTTGCGCGCAGCGATCACCTGGCGCTCCACATGAAGCGACACCTGCCGAAGAACAAGTGAGGGAGCTAGAGAGCAGCCGAACAGAGTCTCTGCCAGCCCGCCCTCTCTCTCTCTCTCTCTCTGTCTCTCTCACTCTCGCGGTCTACAAATACAACTATATCACAATCCAAAGGACTTTAGTTAAGCTACAAAGAGAAATTCGCATAGTTAAATGGTCTTACTATTAAATATTAAATACGACACCTGAAATACATAATATAAAGAGCTTTCTGCACTCAAGAGCGGGAAAGAAAGAGAGTTGGATACGTCTCTTTCTCTCTCGCTGCTAGTTTAATGCTAAGTAAATGAAATTTCCACCTGCTTAACTACATATTAATGCAAATCTTATATCTAAGCACGATCCTAACTAATGTTAACTCGTAAATCGCATAAAATACTTTACCCCCCTTCCTCCCCCTCGCTCGTTCCAACCTCACTCCCAGCAGCAGCAGATGCAGCGCCTGCCCGCGGAGTCCCGTGTATTAAAGTGCATATAGTATATATTTATTCATACACACATACATTTATTTCCTATGTATACATACATTTACATATATATGTGCAGGAGGAGGAGAGCATTAATCGCCACGTGTCATTGTCGCCTAGTTTCTGTATAGTTCACCCTTAGCCATAAATTTTAGATTTTAGTGTATCTGTAGTCGGTCTACATCAATTCAATGCGCATCCCTCTGTGTGTGTGTGTGCTCCTTATAGTAATTGTAATTGTAGCTGTAAATGTAATTGTAATTGTAAATGTAGCTAGCGTATTATGTGTCTCTTATATCGTTTCTAAACACCAAAAAGTGCTGGCACAACAAAATCAAATAATAAAATGTTTTTGAAAAACCACACAATCTGGCTTCTTTTTCATCCGGCTCCATAATTGTCCATCCTACTCCATGGCAAAGCGACGGGTCCATGCGCGTGCGATTTTGTCGTGCTCGCTGCGATGATTAATGTAGAGTTGGGCGATGGCCGGATTTAGCGGATCCTCCGGATCGGGCGTCACCATCATAGAGAGAATGGAGACCATGAGCTTGGCCACCGTTGCCACGGGCGTCCATTTTTTCGGGCAGACGAGACTGTTGTGCACGTTGCAATGGTAAATCTTCGTTATGAACTTCAGGATCGGCGGCACGAACGGATACCCGGGGGGAAACGAGATGAGCATGTGGAAGGTGCCGCCCTCATAGGGCGTGTTCACCGGGCCGCTCAACGAGGCGCCCCACTCGTACAGATTATCTTCCAGCACATCCACGTGGCAGCCCTCCAGGCGAGTCTGCCAAATCCCGAGCAGCTCGCGTTGTATGCGATGCTCCCGCAGCCTGCAGGTCGGATAACGCGGATAGACGTACATGCGGCACCCTAGCTCAACATCGCTAACATCAGAGTCAGAGTTAGTCTCCTCATCATCGAACCTGAACTGCTCAGCTGGCATCAGCATACCGATCGCTGCAAAGTAGCAAATGATAAATAAAAGAAAAAAAAAATATTTGAAATTCAAGCAAAAAGCTTAGCACTAACAATTTCAGAAACTTTGAGATTAAAGGAAAATTTGCCGTTCGAAATTATCAAAATTGTATTGCAGAGACTTAAAAAAAAAACCAATAGACTAAATGAGCTTTATTTTCCCGAATATAACTTATTTTTTCGCGCGTTTTAAATTCCAATTTTATTTGCTGCACAGATTTTTTCACAGATTTGTAAAAACAACCGACTGCTCGAAGCAATTGAGAACAACTGAATTATTCTGCTCGAAGTTGTTCTATTTAATGCATTTGTGCCACGTGTTCCAAATTTCAGGGCCTACTTTAAGCACGAAATGCAAAAATATCAAGTTTAGTGATGGGCAGTGAACGATAATTACCTATTTTTAGTATATTTTATTTTGCTAGTATATTTTATGCTCGTTTATGGTATGCTGTTAAAGCTCTAAATTTGTCTACGTAATTTTCTTAAACTGTCAGAAAATTACTTATCCTTGTTAACTTTATTAGGGTAATCGTTACTCACTTAAAAATGGGATTTCGGTGTGATAAAATAATGGATATAAGTAGATGTGTTTTTATATAGATATTTATATATATACATATGTGCATATTCTTTATAGAGCAAAAGGCATGCCCAGTAATCTGTGCGTATAAATAGATCCGTCGTTCTCAGCATATTGAGTTGAGGGTCTATAGCATATTCGCACTAATTTATAACATTTTATTTACAAACAGGAATTAAATTTGGGATAAATTCCTCTTCTATATTAGGATTCACATTTTTGTCCAGTAATAAAGTAGCATAGCTGACTCATCTAACCTCAACTAACCCAACAGCTAACACCCTCTCTGAACTAACTGTTACCTCGTCCATCACAAACTACTCTTCTCCAACTTCATTCAAAGCAATCGCTAAATAACTTCAAGTCGATGCTTTGCCCATCAGCAATTCAATGCCAGTGTTGAACAATGTGCAATGGAATTTTCGAGTATTCGATATTTACTGCAATCGCATGCATTTTATACGATTATTAACATTCGGCCAGTACGTGCGCCGCAACGTCAATGGACAAATTGAAAAATTTCTCCAACAATTGTCAGTAAATCTGTGTTGCTTCTTTGGGTAAACTCCACACGTCAGCTAACAGTTAGGTTATTAAAGAATCGATATAAAATACATAGATATGTGATAAAGAGTTTTATGTGCCTCACATGGCCAAGAGACAATCATTTCATTTAGATGAGAATGCAAAGCCGATAAGTGTGAGGGAGAGACTGACTGACTGACTGACTGACTCAATTGCCTTTTGTTGTTATGGCCCGTGTGATTACTATCAAAATATTTTGTACACGAAACAAACATGTCAAGCAAATGCGAGACGTTTGTTGTTGTTGTTGTTAGTGTGTTAGTGTTGTCTGCTTGAAAATTGTTAAAAAATCAAAATAATAATTTCAATTGTTGACTGCATTTCATTTTCTACTCATTCTCTCTCACTCTTTTTCGCTCTCTCTCTCTCTCTCTCTCTTCATATTTTGTAGCGTCATGTTGTTTTGATTGGGGCGATAAAATTGTTGTCGTTGTGTGCCCATTTGAAATTATAAATCGTTTGATTTTTATGAGGCTCATTTATTTATGAGCTAGCCATGGACAGCCAGGGGGAGCCAGAGAGAGAGAGAGAGACAGGGGGCAGAGCGTATAGTGGTAAACCAGTTCATTTGTTAACGAACTTCTTTAGCTGCATTGACTAAACGCAAGCAGACTTCATGTAAGCCCAAAGAGAGCAACGCAAAGCCCACTCAACGCTCGCCACATGCCTCGGCCTGGCATCCATCATTGCCCAGCTTAAACTCCCTCCACGTGGGCGTCAAGTACCGCGTGCATCTCCATCCCGGTTGCACTGCACCGAGCCGCCATCTCGCTCGCCTTGTCGGGCATCTTCAATTGTCTGTGCGCGCTGATTAATCATGTTACCACTGACAGCTCAACTTTGCGGGCAAGCTGCTTATTAAATTGGCTTTAGATTGCTAGATAAACGCAATAAAAACGCACAGCAACAGTCAGACTCAGATTCAGTTCAGTCGCACTCGCAGCTAAAGATACAGATACATGAGCAAGACACATGTGGAGTACGTGTAGGTATGAGGACCCCACAAATTGATAAATGCAAAGGTTGCCCCCCTCCCCACTCTCTCTCTCTCTCTCTCCCGCTTTGCACCCACCTGAATGTCGGAACAAAGGGGAATTTCATATGAAATCAATGCGCGATTCCAGTCAGATCGCGTGTGCCTGCCTTCCTCGACAGATCTCGCTTATTATTTCAATTAATTTGTGCGCTCATTAAAGCAGAGCCGAGCACAAAGCCAAATTGTGCATACAAATACGTACAGACTCGATCCGATCGATCTCCGTGTGGGTGTCGATACTATGCCAATCTGGTAAATATGTATGTCAGTGGGGAATGCTTAACACATCCAAATGTATTAAACGCTGATCGGGGAGCACAATACCTAACTGTGTGTGTGTGTGTGTGTGAGCACATTCAATCTAAATAGACAGATGGAATGCAAGACAATGGAAATTTATATTACTTATTTTAATTATCTTATATATTATTGTTGTCAAGTCATACAATTTATGGGTATAATATATATAAATCTATATATTGCTCTATTAAATTAATTATTACGATGTGATATTAATTCACAAGCTTAGCTTATAGCTGATAATGTAGAAATACATTAGAGTAAATACTTTTTATTCACTTCAGTGAGAGCTCTATAAATTGAGCAGAATATTTTATAAAGTTCTTTATTTCTATGTTTTCTTTCATAATCTCTCTCTATGATTTTTACGATCTATCTTGCTCTTTCGGTCTCTGTTTCAAATATTTCCTCTCCTGTCTCCTCCTGCATCTCAATCTTTATGTTCTTTCGCTCTATCCCTCTTTCATTCTCTTTTTACCTTTATCAATTTATCTCTCTCATTTGCTCTACTTCTCTCCTCTCTCCTGTCCCTTGCAGTTTAAGCACATGTTTAATTTATATGTCTTTTGATTTGTTCTTATTCTGTCTAACTCTTATATCATATCACCCACTGCAATATAATTCGAATAGCCTAGGGGTACTTCATGCCTTCATCTGAGGCATCTGTTTGACCGTATTGTTATTCTTTTGTCTACTTGATATACATAAATCATATATGTACGTTGCCCATGCTCGAATGACTTCATTAGAACTCGTTGCCCGTTTCGAATCCGTTTCGAATCCGTTTCGATCTAGACTTCAGCTATGGAATATGCGAGTCAAATCAACCCAACGACAACTTTTATGGATATATGGAGCATATGCTTGACAATATATACACGTATACATATATATTCGTACCTTTCCCTAGATTAGAGACAGCTCTAGAGTATGAGTTGCAGACATTATATTATATATGGATGACTCTATAATATTCTATTGTATTCTTTTATATAGTGTTGTAGTATGGAAATGGTTCAGTAAATTTTCTTTAGAGATTCTTTTGTTATTGATTATTTCACTGTTTGGCCAACTTCTGAAGCTTCCGCAACAACTTTTACTTTCAGCCAGGCTGGCGGCTCAGCTTGGCGTCTGGCTGGCAGACTGCGTCCAGCTGTGGCTCAGCAAACACCCACAGCAAGAGCTGCATGGCTAACCCACACACACACACACACACACACGCACACACACATAGTTAGAGGCAGCAGCAGCGGGTTCATCCATTTTAAGCCAGGCGAAACATACAAAAGCGCCCATTAGCAAATGGGGGGGACGCACTCGTCGTGTCGTGTTGCGGCCGTGTCGTATCGTGTGTTGTTGTCTCGTGTGTGTGTGTGTGTGTCGCCTGTCAGACTGACAGAGGGGCGCAGTCGAAAAGCCAAAAACTGCAACAACAACAACAACAACAACAACCGTAAACAGGAACTCCTCTCGCCAAATGCTAACTGGCCCAGACAACACGACGAACTGTGGCGGGGGCGGGGTCTGGCAGGAGGCGGCTAGAGGCGGTGCAGTTGGACGCGTGTTGCAAGCAACTACTTTGCATACACGCTGCACATAAACAACGCTGACTAAAAACGGCGACAACTATAATTAAGCTTAATTGCTGTTTAATGTGAGCCACGTCGACAGACAGACAGACACTCCGGCTCGAACTGAAGCTGAAGCTGAGGCTGTAGCTGGAGTCGGATGCGGAATCGAAGCTTGGCAAGCAGGACCGCGATAGTTTTCAACATTTGTCAACTCGCCCACGCAACGTCAGTGACTGCTAGCCATATCACACATACACCCAAACACACACACACACACAGTCTGTATGTACTTAAGCTTAATTTAATTATATTTATAATAGGAAAAATGTTCACATTAAACTGGAGTAGAAACCAGGTGTTTGTATAATTGAAAAAAAAAAAAAAAATAGTTGCTTATCTGCTGGCATTATTGTTTTTTGTTTCTCTGTATGTGTGTGTGTGTGTGTGTGTGTGTGTGTGTGTGTGTGTGTGTGTGTGTGTGTGTTGGGTTAAATTAATTAGCAATTAAAAATGCAGTGCGGACCAATGGATACGCGGCTCTAATCTGTTGTAGCAACAGTCGTAATTCATATTTATAAATAGGCACACATTATTCAAGGTGTCCGCAGCGAGCCGCGAACCGTAAATTAAATCAAAATCAAAATGAAAACGATATGGTTAGAATTTTATAACGAAAAATGGGTAAAGAATTGAATAAGTCAGAGATAAGTGAAATATCGTCAAGCCGAACTGGAAATACACTTGCAAGTGAATAAGAATTACGTTCTTGGGGAATTGAATTTATGTGGAGTGAGTCTGAGGAGTGCATAGAGTAGTTCCTAGTGACATGGGAAGTTGACTAAAAATAAAATATTATATATTATTCCTCATACCATCCAGAAATCTATCTCATTAAACTGTTGTGTATTAGAAATCCAATAAATTATTTCTTAAATACACTTAAATATACAAAACTTTATTTGAACTTCATTCATCATTTTCAATATTTCCTATCCCTTGCAATAATTCTAGCATATTCCGTCACTCTTTCCCAGCAGTCCCAGCGACTCCATGGCCAAGCTTAGGGTATGCTAAAAACCCATTAGATCCGTGGCCGCCCACAATTCGAACGTGGAGCCGTGCTCGGACCTCGGACCTCGTACCTCGGACAGACAACAGCCGGCAATTGGAGGTTGGGGTTGTTGCCGCTGCTAGACGGCGTGTGACTCAATCCCAGCTGCAGTTGATCGACCGCCGATCCGGCCGACCCAGTGGCGACTGCTGCTGCGGCTGCGGCTGCCGCTGCTGCTGCTGCATTTGGCAATGAACTTTTCGATATCGAAATATGCATGGGCTAAAAGGCAGGCAGCGATGGAGATAAATAAAGCGAGCTTGGCTGCTGCCAATTTGACTTTGAACTCGGTCAAGTCGAGACACATTTGAAGCTGTTTGCATATTTAATTGAACACCTACAACAGCAACAGCAACAACGACGAGAGCGACAACAAATGGTTCGCAGCTGTGTTGGCATAATAATAAGCATTATAATCAGGCGCAAAAGGCTCAATAGGCCAATTGGCTGCCGGCCAGGCAAAATCTACAGTTACTTTGTCAAAGCGTCAAGTCGTGCCTGACAAAATAATGACCGCTTATGCCATAAGCCGGTGGCCTTTCAGCCAAATCTCATTACAAGCCACGAAAGCGCCGACTGCAAGTAAAACTTCAAATTTCGCTAAAATATTAAAATATATGCAAGTCGTAATTCACATGAAAAGAGTTCTAATATTAAGTTTGTCCAGGAAAATAATTATGTGTATAATTATGGAAAATTATAAATTATTCAATCGATGGATAATGAAAGGCAGCTGATATCTAGATAATATGATAAATAATTTTAGATGTTGCGTTCATAAGAATAGTAGTAGGTCTGAAAATAGTAGCATGTAAATAGTAGTAGTATATGTTCATGTGAATAGTAGTGTAATTGTTCAAAAAAATAGTGTACATAGTATTATATGTCCATGAAATATTTGTTTGCATGTTCATGAAAATAGTAGTATATTTGATCGTCAAAAGTAGTATGTATGTTTTTTTAAATAGTAGTGCATATGAACATGAAAATAGTAGTAAATATGCTCATAAAAAGAGCAGTTGTTCATAACACTAGCTGTATATAGCTTATGCAAATAGTAGTATTTATGAACGTACAAATAGTAGTCTAATTTATAAAAATATAGTAGTACATATTTATATTTATGAAAATAACTATAGAATCGTTCATGAGAATAGTAATACATGTTCATACAAAAAAGTGTAATTGCTTGTGAAAATAGTAATAGTATTAGAAATAGTATTAAATTAAAATAGTAGTATAATTGCTCATGAAAATAGTCGTGGATAGTAGCGCATATGTATGTGTATGTATGTATAATTATACATTTTTATCATAAAAATAATATTCTATATGTTCATGAAAGGAGTATTCCTTTTGTAGTAGAAAGAGTAGTATATATCTATAAAAATAGTAGTATGCGCAATACATAAGACTAGTTGATTTTTTTATTATCTTTAATGCAATCAGAATTTTTTAAGGGCTTTCAAGTTCAGTTGCTGTAAGTCAACTCAGTAAGCTTAGTTCAAATGTTCGTCTTATGGAAAGCAACATGTAATCGATAACGAACACCAGTGCCTATTGAACATGTCAGTGTCAAAGGCACATATCAATTGCCCAGTAGGCTCACCTTTTCCTTCTGCTTAAAAATCATAAGTCATTTCTCAAGCAAACACGCGAGAGCAATTGCTGCTGAAAAATTAGAAAAAAAAAACTAAGCAAAAAGTAAGCAATAAAAAGTTATTTATTCATTCAGATATGTGTATATTTATAAATATATAAAATAAAAATAAATATTTTATAAAATATATATAATAATAAT